ATATTCCGTTGCACTCCGTTCTTGAGACACCCTTATACTGTATAAAAATTGTTAGAGCTCAAACGTATATCGTAGAGCTCGAATCTCAACCTTTCTTCAGGTCTCCTTACTGCGCACTTTGGCAACGCGTACAAGACCAACTGTTTCTTCACCCATTACCGCTCAACAGTGTTCGCCATTTCGCGAACCTCGCACAGCTGGACTTTGCCAAGTCGGCCTATGCTTCGGGACTAGCCGGAACCTCTCTGCCAGCATTTCACTATCTAGCTCACACATACCAGTTTATTGTTTGTTGTTTTCGCTATAAATACTCGCGAAATGTGCTCGCATTTGTACTCTGACTCCTTAGTGAAATCATCGCTTACTTCATATTTTGCACCCTTTTCACTTGCCTGTCAAAGCTACTTTCCTTTTGACCGCGCATTTTTCCGCAACCAACAACTCTCCAACTTCTGATTTTTTCACTCGAAGGGGCAAACGCCTCTCAGCGTACTAGGATGTGAAGTTTAGGACAAGAATGAAGAAAAGGGAAGGGGTTTCACTAGCAGCAGTTGGGATACATATAGCAAACCCTAACAGGGTTGTACTCGCTATAGAGCACCCCACTACAGGCTAGATAATTATAACATTCTGACACACCCCCATAGCCAAAGTGGGGTGTAATCAGCACAATGAGCAAGCAGGTATAGAGCAGGAGTTCACAATAGCGAGCAAAGCTAGAGTCATTCACAAAGGGCAAGTGAGGAGGAGGCGAGACTGTAAGAGGAGAGGAGATAGGAGGCGACGGCTGAAGCTGCAAACACACGGGCAACAGGAGTCACACTGGCACAGCGGCTACCGGAACAACACTCCGGACTACTGGAGTAACTGGCTCCGCGGCTAAGGCTAGCGGCAGACGAGCAACGGACCCACGGGCGACTGGCACAGCTGGCTACGACTGGACTACCGGAGCAACGCCCCGGACTACTAGTGCTGCTGACGACACGACGACAACCTCCGTTCAACCAACCTCTTCCAGCTGCCCCACACCTCTCGACACACACCCCCTGCTCAAACCCTAGCTCCACTCCCATAGCACCCCCCTTACACCCTAAACCGCAGGCTCACACACATCCACCTCCCTCAAAACCCTAGCTCCACTCCCACAGCACCCCCCTTAAACCCTAAACCCCAGACTCCCACACATCCACCCCCCTCAGCGACAGCTGCAGCAGTGGGAGACGAAGGAGGAGGAGGAGCAGGGGAGACCACACACCCGTCACCCCCTACTCGCCACCCCCAGACCCTAACACAGGGCAGGGCGGGACGGCGGGTAGGGAGGTTAGGGGGGGGGGGGGGGCGACGCGCGGTCTCCCAGGGCGCCAAAACAGGCGGCAGAAGGGGCGATGCTCGCCCCCCTCCCCCAGGTCGCCCCTCCCGTCGCCTGTCGAGGCGACCTGAGGGGGCCGCGTGCGGGGCACGTGCCCCCGGTGCGCCGCAGCTGGCGACGGGGCATGGCCGGGGCGGGGCCGGGGCAGGGTCGAGGAGGGGCCGAAAGGGGCGGCGACGGGGCCGCAAGTGGCGGCGACGGGGCCGCTGGAGGCAGCGACGGGGCCGATAGGGGCGGCGACGGGGCCGCTAGGGTCGGCAACGGGGCCGCTGGAGGCGACAACGGGGCTGCTGGCGGCGGCGACGGGGCCGATAAGAGCGGCGACGGGGCCGCTAGGGTCGGCGACGGGGCCGCTGGCAGCGTCGACGGGGCCGCTGGCAGCGTCGACGGGGCCGCTGGCAGCGTCGACGGGGCCGATAGGGGCGACGTCGGGGCCGCGAAGGGGCCGCGAGGGGCCTGGAAGGGCGGCGACGGGTCGCGAAAGGGGCGGCGACGGGGCCGCGAAGGGGCTGCGAGGGCCTGGAAGGGCGGCAACGGGGCCGCGAAGGGGCCGCGAGGGGCCTGGAAGGGCGGCAATGGGGCCGCTAAGAGTAGCACGAGGGGCACGCCACGAGGCGTGCCGAACACAGAGTAGCAGCGGGAGCAGTTGAGTGGGCCCACAGGCCAGGACCGTAGATGCTCTGATAGCATGTGAAGTTTAGGACGAGAATGAAGAAAATGGAAGGGGTTTCACTAGCAGCAGTTGGGATACATGTAGCAAACCCTAACAGGGTTGTACTCGCTATAGAGCACCCCACTACAGGCTAGATAATTATAACATTCTGAATTAGGAGCCGTTGCTCTCACACTCTCTTGTAAGCACGTGCAGTCACAATTGCACCTAGCACCTAGAACGCCCGGCGTCCTTCGACATAGACGAGCACATTGACCTCGCCGACCTCACGCATGAGTGCCTAGATGAGCTTATGCGGCAACTGCACGAAAGCACACTAGATATTGTGACGCTGACGGCAGAGCGCAAATCCCTCTATTTTTCTCAACCCATCCCACAAAAAAACAGACGCAGGCAACACCAGCAGCACCGGCAGCAGCAACACCGTCCCGACATGAGAGTGTGGGACAGCGCTCAGCCGCCACCAGTGAGGGCGCCATACGTGACAAAGTGCGTGGCACCCGCAGTACGACACATCCCGAAAAGATGCCAGTGGCAGAATCACCACACGAGGATCGCCGTCGCGTTACCATTGAAAATGACAACTCGGCAATCATATCACCCAAGCCATTCAAGCCTCAACGTCCCCCGTCATTTTACCCGGGTCAACGGGGTGGCCTGACGGTTCAATCGTGGATTTTCACAATGAATGTATTTTTTTACGCCAGGCTTTTTTCGACGCCAACTACGTCACGTCTGACTCAGCCAAAACTCGTTATGTCGTGTCGTTACGACAAGGACCCACCATGGATTGGTGGAATGTCATCACCACTGCGCCGATCGACTACAAGCCCCTAGTGTTATTCTTCTGTTATTATTCTCCCTCTGTCTCGTTCTTCCACCAAAACCCATATCTCCCAGTATGTTTAAAAAACCCTAGTTTCTCCTTTAGCCTCTTCCTCTCCCACCTCTCCCTCTCTTCCTTGCTTTCCTCCATCCATTAAAACCTCATCTCATGCCATGTTGGTGTAGCTTTTGAGAACAACACCCTCATGCCACATCTCCACACTCTAGTTTCCTCCTTACCCTCTCCCTCGCCTACTTCTCTCCCCTGGACCCTCATCTCACACCATGGCTTGCCCTTAGTATTCCTCTTCCCTCTCTCCCCTTCCTCCACACCCTCATCTCCCGGCATGTTCTCCAAACCCTGGCTTCCCCACCCTAGTTTTCCCCTAAACTAGACTCTCCTTTTCCTTCTCACTCCTTCCCACCCTCCCTCATCCCTTTCCTTCCTACTTCCACCAGACCCTCATCTCCCGCCACGTTCTCCAAACCTCGGCTTCCGGGCCTATCGATCTGTTTCTGCACGTCGTGCTTCTAGACCATGGCGTCATCACTGCTCAGGATGACACCAGCACCAGTGGCGGCGGCGGCAGCAGCAGTGGCGGCGGCGGCAGCAGCGAGAGCGGGAAGCAGATTGGGGAGCAACAGGCGGACACTGAATCAGAAGCCACGAGCGAGGGAGTAGCAGAAGGAGTAGGAGGGATGGGGTGAAAACAACAGGGTGGAGAAATACATAAGGATAAGGGAGCAGCATGAGGAGCAGCATCAGTGCTCGATTCAACCCCAAACATCTACACGCCAGCACAGCGGATAGCGCTAGCAAAGCTGCTCCCAGCAGGCAGTTCCAGAGAGAGAGTGTAGAGGATGATAGCGGATCTTGAGGGCAAGGAGGTAGAGGCGGGTGCTGCTGCCCATGCAGGAAGTTGCCGAGAAGGATCTTGGCATTTGGCTCAAGCACCCGATTAAGAAGTCTGAGCGGGCTCTACTCTTTTCATTGAACAAGGTGAGACATGGTTTAGGGCTCGGTTCTTGAGGAGTCTGAAATCCCGGACAAGTAGGCTGAGCGTGCACTACTCTTTTTATGAAGAAGGTGAGGTGAGGGTTGCGCTTAGCGTTTAGACTATGTTAGGGCAAAAAACCGTGCCAGCTGGTGCTGACTTTGTGCTTTGGTTGATGCGCTTAGTGTTAAACTCAGCTCTTTCTTCAACCGCCCTTCCCGACCAACAGATCCTTCAGCCACAGCTCGAGGCAGAGGAGGATGATGTTAAGACCATGGAACTTCAAGCCTAGTCTCTTCGCTTTAGTGGCTGCCAAACACTTCTCTTCTCTCTTCACCCTCCTTCACCCACCAACAGAGTCTTCAGCTACAGCTCGAGGCAGAGGAGGATGCTATTGAAGCGGTTATGCTTAGGCTGTGCTATCTCGTGTTAAGATGTTAGGTCGTATCTCGGGCTCGTCTCAATCTTGGTTGGTGTCAACTGCTCAACAAGGAAAAATCAGGGAGTTCTAGTCCTCCTGGTATCAGCTAAACCGACCAATGTGATCACGGGAAGTTGCCCAATGTGCCCAACATTGACACCAGGCTGGAGCCACGTGCGAGCGCAGCTCCACCTCGTGTCAAGCGCGTTTGGCGTCTGACATCAACCGCAGATTGACACGAGCCAGGGATACTACCTTACTGTGCTGTGTTGTGTTCTCCCCGCCCTCCCTTCACCCACCAACAGAGTCTTTTGCTGTAGCTCGAGGCGGAGGACGATGTTGTTTTCGTATGAATCGCTACTTGTTGTAAGTCATCTCAAATCAACCCCTTATGTGTCGTTCTCTTTATTTCTCCCTCCCTTCCCCCTTGCCAACAAAATCTTCAGCTACAGCTCGAGGCAGAGGAGGATGTTGTTCCCTCATTGTGGCTCTTCTCTTCATGGAGGTACTCCCCTCTCCCTCTGTTTTCCCCTGCCCTTTATCCCTGCTTGTTTTTTTCCATCTTTCTACTCCTCTTTCTTATCCTCTTTCTTCTTCTCTTTCCTCTCCTCTTTCTCCCGTTTTTTTTCTTCTGCTCATTCTTCCGCATCTGCCTATTCTCCCTTCCACACCTTCCCTGCTTCCTTCTTTCCTTCTTGCACATAAGCTTCCATCATCATGGCTCCTTGTAGAATGAACACAGTCGTTCCATTCCTCGTTCCCTCTTATCTCTTTCACTCTTCGCTCATCTCTCGCGCCCCTATCTTTCTCTGCACCTACTGCCTCGTCTCTCCCCCCTTTTTACCCCCCACACAGGCACACAAGAAGGCCCTTCAGGTCCCTGGCCGCGCTCTCTCTGCCATCATCACCCATCTCAAGTCCTCTCTCTCTCCCGCAGACTTCTTCTCTCTCTCCACCTTGCACTTTGCTGTTGTCGCGCCCATTGGCAAAAGCACAGCAGGGGAGAGAGGGCAGGCGGGGGAGGGGGAAGGGGGGGAGGGAGTGGAGGAGAGGGTGCATATGGAAGCGCTGCTGAAGGGGCCGAACGAGGTAGCTCTGGGGAAAGCCAATTTGGGTACAGTAAGGGCGATGATGGTGATGAGTGATATGTGCGTCGTTGTGACAGACTAAGCGCACAGCAGGGGGGAGAGGGCAAATTGGGGAGGGGGAAATTGAACATCGTCGTGCACATGCACTTCCCTCCCTTTGAACTCGTATGCATTCTCGTCCCAAGTTTTCCTAAATTCCGTTGTATCTGTAGAATGCCATCTAGCCTATACTGCAAGTGATTTTACTGTAGTCATATTCCTATCTATAGCGGATATTCCCTTGCGCGTGCTGTGCGACTCGATCCGTATTCGAGATCTTTCAGCCTTCAATAGGGACGTGGTGCAGTTCGCCTCTGATCGCGCATGATTGCAACGATCACTGGCGATTAGTCCATTCCTGGAAGGTACTACGGTTTTTTAGTCAATTAGGGGCAATCACTAGATTGCGATCAGGGCTTCTATTAGTCCCGATTGATCGCCTCGATCACACGCAATCAATTGCGGTTGATTGCGATCGGCAGCTTGGGTGTGGTGTGATCCGTACCTGCGAAAGAAGGTCCACGAAAGTAACAAACCTCCTCTAAAGTCCCCTTTGCGACATCGGAACTTGAGATCTGTGACTTGACTGTGCTACTCTGTAATTCGAATCTGAGACTATTTCGCACTGTATCGCCAAATCACCCTCGGAAGGGACTTTGTTGATGTCAAGAAAGCTCGTCCATGCTGCTTTCTCAATTGTCTGCTTAATCGCGCGGCTCGTTAGAAATCTCTAGTCGTGCAGTAGCCACAACAATCCGATCTGATCAGGTGAACTGCACCACGTCCTAAGTTCCCCTCACACATTTGCTCTTCGCTTGTATGGCCATGCTTGTTTGCCTCCGCTTTCAGTGTCTCGTCTCCAGTTTCAAAGCGCTTATCATTCGATGCACATAGCACGAGAGACCTAGGGGTTGGGCATGGTTACATCCCCATCCGTTCTTTTCTCGTTAGGGAGTAAATTTGCGACGCGCACTGACACTCCAGCAGTATAGCTAGAGTCAGGCATGGCAGTGGGGTCTGGTTACCACGCCGAGGCAGGTTTCGCCACGGCTGGCGAAACCCGCGTAATGCATCGTAATTCGAGTTGCTCTTCGCCGAGCGTAGTTACCGACGACGTCAGATTACCCTATGACAGTTTCGCCGGGTCGCAGGGTGTCGCCAAATCACAGCTCAGTAACGCGATTGGCCCAATACCCGCTGTAAGTGCTGCTGCGGCGGCAGCGGCAGCGGCGGCGGCAGCGGCAGCGGCGGCGGCGACGGCTGCGTCATTTGCAGCAACTCCTAGACAAGCGAATGGCCGATCCAGTGTCTGTCACGTCGTGGGCGCTCTGAACCGTCTTTTCTCCAAACCGATCGTCGCGCGATCGACGTTCTCACATGTACCCGTTACAAGACGTCCCGTTGGTAGCGCCTCGGCTTTACCCTCCCGTATTCCTCACAGTGCGCCGAGCTCCGCTCTCGCGATCCTCGCTTCCCGCGCCAGTCAAATGGCCAAGGATCCCCTCATTCGATTTAGTCACATCGCATACCATCAACGGCTCCTGACCTCCTACGGATCCGCGTTTTCCTCATCCTCCCTCGTCCAACTCGCCAAATCCGGTCTATTCCGCCCGCCATTCGCGCTGTCCGCGTTAGTAGCACCACCCGTTAACAGGATCGGTTCGTCTGCCGTCAGGTCATCGTTATTGCACTCAGCAGTAACCTCGGGATCATCAGCAGCGGCAGGCAGAGCGGGAGGAGGTTCGGGGTCGTCAGTACGGCCGGATAGGGGATTTAAACTGCACCTGCCCAAGCATGGTCCGCATAAGCTGCTTCCGCGTCCCCCAGCGCGCGGGAAGGCGAAACCCGCAGCTCCCCCCCCACCCGCGCCCAGTTTCCGCGGATCTGGCGCCGTCCCCCGCTTCTCCGCCCCCAGTGCTGGCCCCAGCGGGGCCGCTGGCCCTTCGAGTTCCGCTGCCCGTTCCGCCCACCGCCCCGCCCCCCGCCCCTCCCCCCGCGCCCTCCCTCACTCCCCCGCCGCTAGGCAGCTGGGTGTTGAGTTAGGTGCTTTGAGGCCGAAAGCAGTGACTAAGGAAGTGACTATAGCGAAAGGAGTGGGCACGGGGGTGCTTAAGGCGAAAATCCAAAAGGCTGACGCAGCAATTAAGCCGCGATCTGTAGCTACAGCTGCCGCTACAGATGCCGGCAGGGCGGCAAGCTCGCGAGCTGGGAGTGCGGCTGTCGCAGTGGCAGAGGCTACTGATGGCTCACAGGTAGACACAAGAGATCTGATTCAATGAGAGAAGCGGCAGGCAGTTACAGGTAGATGCACGTGTAGAAAGTGTAGTTTTGAGACGTCTCAAACTACGCTTTCTACACAAGGGAGTTGATTCAATGAGAGAAGCGGCTGGTAGTTACAGGTAGATGCAGAGAGGGGGGGGAAGGCAGGGGAAGGAGTGAGGATGGAAACGGCATTGCCACATTGGTAGCTTTGGAAGTCGGGAAGGGTGAGGAAAGGTTAGGGTTGTTTGTGCCTTTTGTATTCGTTCGTGCAACTGTTCAATACGTTGCTGATGCCTGTCAACCATAGTAAATAAGCCCCTCTTGATTTCTCCATCTGCCCGCCTCCCTCCCTGCAAAGCACTCAGACCACCAGTGGGCCCAGCACAGGCTTTAAGGAGGAGGAGAGATAGAAGCAGCGTCCCCCCACCACTTTCTGTGGCCTGTCGTTACTCGTGATTGGCTGTGCTTCTCTCTGCCCTCCTCCCTGCAAAGCACTCAGATCAGACCACCGGTGCACCCAGCGCGGGATTTAAGGAGGAGGAGAAATATCCAGAGCATCTCCCCCCACCCCGACCTGTGACCTGTCCTTACCCGTGGTTTGGCTGTGCTTTTGTTTGCTCACCTCCCTGCAAAGCACTCAGACCACCGGTGCACCCACGACAGGCTTTAAGGGGGGAGGGCTTGTGACAGCAGCTTCCCCACCCGTACCCGTGACCTGTCCTGTCCTTACCCATGTTCTGGCTGTGCTTCTCTCTGCCCTCCTCCCTGCAAAGCACTCAGTTCACCGGTGGGCCCAGCGCGGGCTTTAAGGAGGAGGAGTGGCAGCAGCAGCTGGCGCTGTTTGCTGGCGACAGTGGGAGGAGGGAGATGGTTCTCACGGGCAAGGAGAGCCGGCGCTACGAGCAGGACATAAAAAGGATTGCTGCTCAATTCCGCCTTCACAGGTGAGCTCTGGGTTTAGGGTTTAAGGAGTCAGGATTTAGGGTGGTGGAGGGGAGGGTGGGAGGGGGTTTTTTCAGGTTTGAGGTTGAGTGAGATGGTTCTGGATATTAGGGTATGGTGGACGTTAGTGCTCAGGTTTGAAGTGGAAAGGGGTGGCTCTGACCGGTAAGGATAGCCAGTAGTATGAAGCCTGGGTTTGGGGTTTTGGGTTTTAGACTCAGGGTCTTGGAGTGTTGGTGTAGGTTGAGAGGTTGGGAGATGGTGCTGACGGGCAAGGAGGACGGCTTTGGATAATTCTCACTCAGATGTGAGCAGGAGGAGGGCATCAAGAGAATCGCACCTCATTTCTGCATTGCAGGTGGGGTCTGGGGTTAGGGTTCAAGTGTTTTGGATACTAGGGCGGCAAGTGGGTTTTAAGCTGCGGTTTCTGGGGTTGGCGGGCGCTTAGGATGAGGGGTTTTAAGTTTAGGGAGACGGTTCTGACGACGGGCAAGGGAGTCAGGGATCTCCTCTTGTTGTCTGCTCATGCCTAGTCAGCTGTACGAGCAGGGAATCGAGAGGATTGCTGCATTTTTTTTTTTTAGTGCCTTGGTAGAGTCGGTTGTAGGAGCAGGACATTTTTGTCCTCAGCAAAGAACCCTCTGTTCTCTTATGAGGCGCCTCACTCTCACGCACTCTCCTCCTCCCCCTGTTCCCCCTTTCGCCCCCACCCCCCTCATCTCCCAACCCATCTCCCCCCCCTCGTCCTCCCATCAGTCACATGTACAACAAGTCCTTCGTCCTCCTCAGCAAGGGCCCTCTGCTCTCTCAGAACTCTCACTTCCCGCTCACCCACTTACCACCTCGCCCATTTCCCCCTCCCCCCATTCAGTCACATGCATGTACAACTCGTCTCTCGTCCTCACCAAGGACTTTCTGCCTCTTATGAGGCGCCTCATTCACACACATTCTCTAATTCCCAACTCCTCATTCCCCTATCTCCCCCCCCTGCTCCATCCCATCAGTTCGCATGCACAACTCGTCTGTCGTCCTCAGCAAGGACTTTCTGCCTCTCACGAGGTGCCTCACTCACACACATGCTCCCTGCTTCACCCCGTACCCCCTTCCTCTCCCCTCTTTCCCCTCCCCCTCCCCCCATCAGTCGCATGTACAACAAGTCCCTCGTCCTAAGCAAGGACCCTCTGCCACACTACCGCCCAGAGCTCGACTCTCGGCGGCCGCAGCGACAGGTGGGTGCGATGCGGTGCAGTGCGGTTAAATGTGGCCTGTTGGGACATGGTCTTGATACTCTGGAGTAGAAAGCAGTGCTGTGCGGTGCAATGTGTTTCAGTGCTGTGTCTTACACTGGAAGAGTGGGCTGCGCACTGCGGTGCAGTACGGTGCTTTTCGGTATGTGCCAGTTTTGTGAGTTATGTCTCAGTGAAGTGCTTCTAGGAGTGGCTGGGTAGTGCAGTTTACCTCCCCCGATCCTCTCGGCTTCCAGACATGTGAGTTCCCTTCACACATGTACTTTCGGTCGAGTGTTTCCTCTTTGCCTGTCCTACTTGTCTTCTCGACTCGCCCCTGCGCTGCAGCTGAGTTTCGTCCCGGTATTTTTTGGGGGATTGACAGAGTGGTGGCGGGTGCAGGGGCAGCAGGGTGAAGTGCTCTATAGGTCTCCCTCCTTGTCACATGTGGGGCTGATTCTTTCCTTGTTGCTTCTCCTCCTTCTCTTCACTTGTCGCTGCAGCTGAGTTTCCCGCCGGAGATTCTTGAAGCAATTGACAGAGTGGTGGCGGATGTGAAGGCGAAGCGCGAGAGAGAGGAGAGCGAGAGGGAAGAGAGGGAGAGGGAAGAGAGTAAAGCTGCTTTAGCTGCTGCTGGTGGTGTTGGTGGAGAGAAGCAAGGCGTGGCAGGGCGAGGGCTGACGGGGTTGCAAGGGGCCAAGGGCGAGGAGGAGGAGGGGGGGGACGAGGAGGATGGGGGGGAGGAAGAAGAGGGGGGCGCGGTTCGTGGTGGAGCGAGGGAGGAAGCGGAGGAGGTGGAGGAGAGGAGGAGATGGCAGTTGTGGAGGATCAATGAGAGCTTGAAGCGAAGACAGCAACAATGGCAGGTAAATGGGAGAGGAAAGCAGGGGGAAGAGGGAGGGGAACTGGGGGGTTTGGGGAGGAGGTGGAGGAGAGGAGGAGATGGCAAATGTGGAGGATTAATGAGAGCTTGAAACGCAGACAGCAGCAGTGGCAGGTACGTGAAGGGGGAAAGAAGGGGGGAGAGGGATGGGAGGGGGGGTTGGTGGGTGAGGGGGAAGGGTTGTAGCAGACTCAATAGTAGAATCTATGGTATTCAATCAGTTGATTAATTGACCTTTAAGTTTCGACAAATAACTAATCATTAGTACACCGACACATTCACACACGGACACATAAAGACATGCATTTGGTGTCTTATACACATTCACGCATACATAAGTTCTGTCATCATGTATCACCCAAAAAGGCATCCATTCATTCTCTCCTTAATGCATGGCCATATGTGCGCATGC